ACATTATGACTGATGATATATGTTATTACAATTTTTCAGAGCTCGAGATAGGGTTCGAATCCCAAACGTTTACTGAGGACTTGGATTTTGCATTGACTTTATGCTTTGAAATAAGCATAAATATAATATTGTTTGAAGGTTTGTATGGCGAAGTAATAATGTATAGTAATGCTTGCGGTACACCACGTAGATACTGTAGTTCTGAAAAGAACTGTTGTTGGTTGAGAGTGTCTAGACGTTTAGATTGCGTTGCTTCAATCGTCAGCATATATATTATTTTCCTGAAGACGATTGAAGCAACTCAATCAAAACGTCGATACATTCCCAACCAAGAACTTTTTCAGAACTATCTACGTGGTGTACCGCAAGCATTAATATATTATAATATTTTTGTTGTAATAATTGTGTTGAATATGTAATTAATTTTTGGACTTTTTTGCCGACATTTTGCAACCAGCCTACATACTAGACAATTCTTTACACTCATGCAGCCTTTCCTACTTTATTTAGGCTTATGCGGTAGTGAGGGCCCTATGCAGACCAGCAGCAAATTATAATCAGTGCCCAACAGGAATGTGTTGTTATAGACAGAAAAAAATATATATAAATTATTTGAAGCGAATGGAGTGAACACTGTAGAATTGTTATAGTATATGGATTTTATATCCAGAACCCAATAGAAACGTTCCTCTGGTGTTAAAATACCTTGGAACAAGATCTCGTAACTCCGATGGGGCAGTATAGTGTTCACATGAGACCATTCAACCATACATTGTCTGAAACTAGAATGCTTTTGTTATTGTTGTTAAGTTTATTCTGTATCGTTGGAGATGTATAAATATTTTGTTTGTACATAGAAACACCATGAATACATTTCAGGATATGCTTCACTGCAATCAGGATGATTTTTATTTTATTTCTCAACAACATACTATAATTAACTTCGTATTCTTTGTTGAATTCATTCAATGTCATTTCCTTCAGTGGGGTATTTACGTAGGCGGCATACCACAGTATGATGTTCAACTACATAGTGCTTTTAGATTTTATAGATTTTATAAAAAAAATATCGGCACGCAAGTTGTTGTTCAACAAATGCAGCCACCCCTTCATCTGGTCACAGCTATCTTGTACATGTGTTCGCAATTACTTGTTAATCTCGGATGTATTATAAGAGAACTTGTAGAAGATCATTAAAATTTGTCTACTAGTAGATCACAACCACTTGATTTTCCATCCATCGCTGATCCTGTTAGCGACATCCCGGCCGGCCCAGACACCATATGGGAATATGTGCACAATATCCCACTCTCAAAAGCAAGGGTCCCAAATTTCCCGCAACTCTTGGGACTTTCCCGGAAATCCGGAGGGTCTCCCACTTCCGCAAACAATCAAGAAACTCCCGCAAATTCACAATATTTGCATGTTTTTTTTTTTATCAATTGTTCCAAGGAAATCAGTTCCAATGGGTATCACTTAGTGTAGCAAAATGAAATTGAATGTGTTAAGAAAGCTCATTAACCAGACCATTTAATTGGCGGATTCAAGGGTGGGGTAGCCTATTTTTTCCGTAAGCGTGTGACGTCGGCGACAATTCTTTCCCACCTGCAGCGGCTCGACTTTGGAATATTCTGCCACCTTATAAAAAACTTCCACTCTCTGTCAGACAGTAAATGGCCACTCTTAAAACCTGTCTGCTTACTGATTTTATTTGTGTTAGGCTGGATTTGGTAGTTTTTGCATTCATTCATTTGAATCTTTGTATCCTTTATTACCATATTTGATCATATTACCATATTTGAAAGCATGCTCTGTTGGTTTTTGTTGGGGTGAGCTGTGAGAGAATTCAGTGGAGGGTAGTTAGCGCTTTGTAACCGCAAGAAATAAGTGCTATAGAAGTAACAAGTAATAATAATAAAAATGAAGAAGACAAAGAAAATTATATTTAATTTTAAGTATAGTCTGAGAATCCGATTTCCGGCCATCTAGAGGTGCATAATCATAAATCATAAACACAGACCTGAATTCCGTCTGTGAATCCATGTCACATCTCCATATCCTAGAGCCGCCAATTCTGTGAATTTTTTGTCATGGTCCAGTGAAGAAAATGACGGTACTAAATTTTGGTGAAGATCCCGAGTAGTGTGTGTATATGAGGACCATTGATATGAATCCGTCCCAAACTATATACCAAAAACTGATCAACTGATCTGAATAACAGTTTCAGGAAAATGCTCTATGGAACATATATTGGAAACCAGATGAAATTATTTAGCCAATTTTTAGGAAAGTTTAACCAAGTTACAAGGTTAAACATTGTACTGTTTGAAGGTTTGCATGGCCAAGTAAAATGTTAAGATTGCGGTACACCACGTACCACCACGTAAAGAACTGTTATATTAACAAGGAAAACATTATCAAATTTGATGACGATCCAGATTCAAGTTACTCCCCTGCCAACGTGAGAAGCATCTGCTTACAGACCAGTTACACTGACGTCCGCAATCTTAAAATGTTTCGAAAGGTCAATGAATGATTTACTTAATGGACCTTTCCGCTAACCCCTGCCATTTAGATATTGTCGCTAAGGTCCCACAAAACGATAGTGGCTTTGTTCTCACACGGCAGCTAACGCTTAGCAGGATCCGGATCCTGCTAACCGTTAGCTGCCGGGCGTCCATGCGAGAAAATCCCGATCCGGATACCAACAATATGATGATTGAATCACTGGCCAATAAGAAACTGGAAATTGTAAACGTGTACGTGTGATTGGTTGATGAAACGCCCTCAACTTGATGATTAATGGTTAATGGTTATTAATTTCGTGCTTTCGTGAGAACCAGGCTAGCAGCCTTTATGTTAAAACATACGCGAACACGTGCGGTTGTGGGACAACACGTGTGATTGTGAGACGCGCGCGTATTCCTGTCGTTGTTCTGATTGGTCAGTTGTTAAGTTTGATTGACAATCCGGAAAGGTCTATTCATCATCCAGTGCCGTTTGCTATGGAGGGAGCAACTGAGGGATTTAAGACGAAATTATTACATTCATATCTTTTAATCATCACACTGTTTGCAACTCCTTTTTAATAGTATATAACTTGTAATTACTACTTAAAGTTTAAATAACTCTGGGAAGTTTTATAAAGCAGTCTTTTTATGAGATAGACTTCACTTTGATTTTGTTGAATTGCATAATAATTTAATTAGACAGTAGGCAATCGTTTCCCCGACAGACCAGAGTTTACATCCATATCAACCACTAATTGGAGAAAAAAAATATATATATATGCCTCCTCTGGTACACGGAAAAGATAGGCCTACTCCGGCCAGTTGTCTATCGTTTAGAAAATTATTAGTAGTTGCAAGTGATGTAATTTTGAAAGATTCCTTACAAATAAAATGCAGCATTGGATCAAAAGTAGGTAACACCGATCTAAAGTTATAAGCAGGCCTGTCTAAAGTGAAATTAGTGTTATACAGTATACAGAAAAACTTTATTGATAAGAGATTTTTTAGTACGGTGTCCTGGTAGTGTTTTTTTTAATGACCTATAATCTAAAAGCAGTCAGACAGAGATTTGGAACAACACGTTCATTTATTCAACAACAACTCCATGACGTCATAAACATCATTACGTGACATCTTCCCCTTTAAAAACAAAGACACAACGATGTCCAACTAAGCGTAATTTTTACGAACTGTTTTAACTTAAACTTCTCTGTATCTCATACTGTAAGTTTGTTAATTGTAACACCACTTCTCAATCTAGTTTGTATTCTGTGAACACTAGTATTGGACTGATTTCCAGATACTGACACTTCTGATGATTGATTTGGATTATGAAGATTATCATGAATCATCGTGAATGAAATCATGGGATCGGGCACTTGTGGATTGTGACTCGTTTTTGACAGATGCCTTCTTTTACGCCTGTATCGCACCTTTATGCTTAACAATGTATGAGCGTGGTGTGCTACCATAGCTTACTACTTTACTTGGTTCACTCCATTTGGATTCATGATTTAACTTTATCCTCACATTATCACCCACTTTAAGTTTAGATAAATCCTTAGCTGATCTATTATAATTTGTCGAATGTTTTATTTTTGCTTTGTCATCGTTGCCCTTGACAACATTGTGATGAATTAACTTGGGGTATAATTTACTAGGTAACACTGGTAATGTAGTTTTAATCTCTCTTCAATTCCCAGCATGAGCTGTGCAGGAGTATAACCTGTGGATTCACAAGGTGTGGCATGATGCGCCATTAATGACATTATGGGATCTTTGGTTTTTAAGATACGTTTTGCAGCTTGTACAGCCCACTCTGCCATACCGTTAGATTGCAGATAATGAGGACTAGTGTTCTATCCCAAACTCTTCAGTAAATTCTTTGAACTCATAACTACTAAATTGGGGAACTCCATCTGTTATTAGGGTTTCACATGCCCCAAATCTAGCAATCTATAGACTTCATCTCATTGATGATTCTTTTTGCAGTGACACTTCCGTGAATGTTTATGATCTCCATAAATCTAGAATAATAATCAATAATTACAAGATGTTGTTTACCAGCATACTGGCACATATCTGCGGCAACCTTTTTCCATGGCCGATCTGGTAACGGTGTTGTAATTAAGGGTTGTTTAACATCAGTCGACTTATGTATTCAATGTTCACAATGGTGTACCATTTGTTTAATTCTGTTATTAATACCTGGCCACCATATAGTTGCTTTCGCCCTTTCCCTACATTTTTTAATGCCAAAGTGGCCTTAATTGATGTATCTTATTAAAGTTATCACCCCGTAACCCTCTTGGAATCACTATTCTATCTTCATACAATAATAATCCATCCTGTACTGACAAGCTACCTTGAGCCTCATGAAAACGTTTTACGTGATCAGGAATGTCACGATAATATTTTGGCCAACCATTAAGCAATAGCTCTTCATCTTTAGATGTCATATCTTGTATTTGATCCATACGATTTGATGTAATTGGGACTACAGACATTACATGCTCAACATGATATTCAATTACTTGTAACTGACACTTATCATCACTATCATTCACATTTTTAAGTGGTTTTCTCGACAAAAGGTCTGCCACTACCAAATCTTTACCAGGCTGGTGCTCTGCAATAGCACTAAATCTCATAAATCGCAGCAATAATCTCTGACATCTGATTGGCACTTTGTCAATATCCTTATCATTAAACAACGGAATCAGCGGTTTGTGATCACTCTGCAACTTGAATGATTCTAATCCAATCAAATATCAATCTAAACGCTCACATGTCCAAACGCTGCAAGACATTCTTTTTCAATTTGCGCGTAGCGCTTTTCTGCGTCCGTTAGAGTCCTAGAGGCATACGCAACAGGATACCAATCATTGTCATGCATTTTGAAATTGCTCCTCCAATGCCGTAGGAGGAAGCATCAGCATTTTAAGAGTAGAGGTTTCCGATAATGCTTTCTTGACATCCTCAAATGCCTTAATCTACGCTTGGTCCCATCTCCAAACTGTACTCTTTTTGAGTAATTCATTCAATGGGTACAACATTTGTGCCAGGTCTTTTAGATAACGACCTAAGTAATTAACGCCTCCTAAAAAGGTACGCAATTCGCTCTCATTTTCCGGTGGATCCATATTTAAGATTGCAGTGACGCGATTAGGGTTAGGTCTTACACCCTCTTTTCCAACTATTTGACCCACAAATTCTACTTCCGGCTTTCGAAAAGAACATTTGTCGAAATTTAGTTTCATTCCTACAGCATGGACTCTGTTAAGCACCTTAGACAATACCCTATCATGGTCTTCAACATTTTTACCACCAATAATCACATCATTCATGAAAAAATAACACTGTGGAATATCCATAATTAAATTTGACATCTCGCGTTGGCATTATTTCAGGCGCTAGTGACACACCATTGGGTAACCGCGTATAGCAATATCTACCAAAAGGGGTCATGAACGTAGTTAATAACTGACATTTCTCGGAAAGACGAAATTGATGGAAACATCCACTAAAATCTAATGTACTGAATACAGTACAGTCTGTCATTTTAGTAAGAACAGAGTCCGTGGTTGGCATAGTTTACGGCTCGCGTTTAATTTGTTTATTTAGTTTACGATAGTCCCCGCATATGCGTAAACGCGCCTTCCCGTTTTTTGTGTCTTTCCGGTTAACTGGAATCATGGGACTACACCACTCTGTCGGTTCAGTGACCTTACAAATTCTATGTCCAGACTCCATTATAATTTAACTCAGCTTCCACATCTTTAATCAAAGGGTATGGGACTCTATGTGGAGTATTAACCGAATATGGAATAGCATTATCATTTTATGTAGTATTGTTTTACTTTTATATACACCATCCGTGCCGAACAACTCTTCCGAAACTTTTGGACTGACCGGTAAGTTAAGCATCTTCAATTTCTTCGCAGATTGACATACCTTTGATTCCGTTTTACAGTGAGTTAACATGATATACTGTATATTATTAGGTACTTCAGTAATCTGTTCATTATTAATTTTGATCAGACCCAACTTTACAGATGCATTTCTACTAAGGAGACTGTCACAGCTTCCCTCAACCACACGTACTCTCAAATAGGTATTAGCTGTACCAATATTTCCCAGCTTAACCACAAATTGGCTTTTAATGGACCACCAGGGGTACCCAATATACTCTTGACAGGGCGTGGTGGTGGTGGTGGCTTATTTAAATTTGTATAAGTTGTCTCAGTAATTACTGTGACAACAGCCCCAGTATCTATTTTAAAATCGACATAAGTTTCATTCAGTTTAATCATAACTCTCCATGGTGGTTCAATTACACAGCCTATTTTACATTCAGCCTCACTAATATTACAATTTACATTAGTTTGATTAGTTAAGTGATCAATAACATAAATATTTTCATCATTATAATTACTAGGCTCATAATAGACAACTTCCGTTAAGACAGTCCTGTTCTTGATTCCATGTTGTTGCCGGGTCTTTTGTTGTGGTCTCCTTGTACGACAGACGTTAGCAAAATGGTTTTTTCCTGAGCACTTATGGCATGTTTTTCCCATTGCTGGACACTCACTACCATGCATGCCTCCACAGCATTTTGCCTTTGCTGAATTGGGCCTTCTAGTCCATTTTGTAGCAGTGGGACGAAAATTGTGTACAGCATCCAGCTTGGATTTATTTGTTTCTTCTGCTTGCTTATTCTGCAATTTAATCAGCTCGTGATGCCGCGCTTTTTGGATTGTTTGATCCAATGTAAAATCTTTTAGTTGCAGCTCCATAGCCAGTCTCTTATCCAACAGACCATTCACAAATCTTGTTTTAATTCGGCGGTCCTTATCACTAAATTGGCAACGTTCGCTCAAGTGATATAAATCTCTGATAAAGGATTCAATTGACTCACCCTCTAGTTGTCGTCTGTTGTCAAACTTTACTTCTTCATCAAATAAATCCACCTTGGGTGTAAAATAATCGTCGTATTTCTTTAAAACAGCGTCAAACGTTGTTGGGCTTTGATCATCTGGAATAGCGAAAGATCTGTAAATCTTATCTGCTTCTTGCCCCATGGCATATATTAATGACGATATTTGGATATCGTTATCCTCCTTATGTAGTTTCGTCGCTAGTCGAAACCGTCCAAAAGTCCCTTTCCATTGCAGCCATTCACTAGGCTTGCTGAAGTCGAATTTTTCTGGAGGGTAAAACTTTGCCATCTTCCAGCGCGCCGGTACTGTACGTTCGCTAGCTGAAGATGCACTCACCTCGTGATCGGCTTTCAATTATCAAGCCTGCTTTTTCAAGTTTTAACTAATTACCTGAGTTGTTATGCAACGTGCCTTATTCCAGTCTCTTCTATAACTTTTTATTCTTTTAATTACTGTGTTGACCGCTTCCACCATGTCCTAGTAGTGTTTTTCTTATGACTTATAAACTAAAAGCAGTCCGAAAGAGATTTGGAACAACACGTGCATTTATTCAACAACAACTCGTGACAACATCATCACGTGACATACGGTAGATTAACTTTAAACATGAAAAAAAAAATGTGATGGTTATCCTTTCCACCTTTATATACTGGAGTTGGCAACAACTAAATAAATATTTGTGACCCGTTAGCTTAGAGTTTCTAAGTACGGCAGTTTGACTTTAAACAACAAGTGTAACAATACATTTTATCCATTTTCGCCTTTGGTTGAATAGCCCAAAATGAATCTTTAATTCCCGAATAAACTGTATTTCTGACTCGGCTTCGTGAAAAGAGGATTACATGACTCTGAAGTAGCTACTTGGTAGGTTTAGCTAAAAGATCATGAATAGATATACGCTTTCATAAAACCATATAATTTAAATTACGTCTGATATCTAACTAAACAAATGTATATTCTGTACTTTTAACGCAGTAATATATCTGAAGATGTCACTAGAAGCATTGGCTTATAAACGTTGTAACAGGGAAGACGACATAGAAAATGATGTAGGCCTAACCGACGGTATTTCAATGAGTCAGTTAAGCAATGTAAGTTGTGCCATACGTTATCATTTTATGATGCATTAACGTTACCAAAGAGTACGTGTTACTGATAATTGACCATTGTTTACACTTTATGTTAAAGAAGAAGTGTACTGTGTATAGGCTTACATTGTATCTCTAATTTGCAATAGTTATATTGAATTACATTTTTTTCTTTATAAAATTAATATAGAAAGACAATTTTGAGGAACGAGGTTGGATCGCTAAAACGTTTAACAAGAAAGAGTGTAAACGATATGTCAAAAAAGACCAAGACGGGAAGTATGTCCTATAACTTTCTAGCTATATTTTGCTTTCAATTATTATACCGATGTTATCAAATGTTATTATAATTTACGGTTCCGTGGTTCTATTTGCAAAACATTAGCCTGTCTCTCTAATTTGGGAGTGAATCGGTAACCGTCAGAATAAATGTCCCATTTC